CTGAATCTCTCCTGGTGCAACTTGAGGCCATTCCCTCTAGTCCTACCTCTAGTTATGTGAGAGATGAGGCCAATCCCCAGCTCGCCACAGCCTCCCTTCAGCTGGAGTGATAAGGTCCCTCCCCAGATTGCTCTCCTCTGGACTGAACAATCCCAGCTCCCTCAGCCATTTCCCATAAGATTTGTGCTCCAGAACCCTCACAACTTTGCTGTCCTTCTCTGCACACATTCCAGGGCTTCAATGTTTTTCTTGTAGTGAGGGACCCAAAACTGAACACAGTCCTGGAGATGTGAGTGCTGAGTACAGAGGGATGACCAAATGCAGCAAAGGACAGCTTGGAAATGCCCATTTCTCACCCCTGGGAGAGGCACGTTGTGCCCCATAGACAAGTGGTTGGCTGCACTCCGAAGTGTTATTTTATTCTGTATTAACCTGGAGCATAGAACTACAAAAACGTTCTGATACATCTTCCAGACAGGGGTAGATTTGTGGTTTGTGGGCTCATAGGAGGAACAGAGTTAGGAACTGGCTGTCTGAGGAAGCAGTATGCAGAGGTGCAGATTCAGTTCTCAGTGGCGGCACTTCCTCAGCAACCAAAGGAATTTCAGATCACTTTTTCAGTGAGCAGCCATTTCAACACCCAAGAAAATTATTCACCAACTTTTCCAGGTGTTCAGGTTGTATGTTACATGTACTGCATGTCTCTATGTAATAAGCAAAAATAATTTGGCACTCAAAACTCCAAAGCTTTGAATTTAAAAGCGGTAGATAAAAGACTGAACTTTGCCAAAAGCGATTCCTTTTACTTCAGCCCAGGGGCTGGCCTGTGCAAGCAGGAGCAAAGTGAACAGCAGCAATGCTTCTGCACATTTACAGCCTGTTTTCTAAGAAATGATACAAAGAGCTGTGCAGAAGATCTCAGCTGCAGTGCACCAAGGGATTTTTTTTATTTTATTTTTTATTTTTTGGTGCTACAAAGCCCATGAATGTTGCTGTGCATTCTGGACTGCCATCTACTGGCGTTTGCTCTGCTTATTGCTTACATAAGCTGTTCCTCAGAGAATCTTTGTAACAATTTCTGTGGAGCCAGTGGATTTGTGCATACAGACACTGGGTGCAGGTTGAATGTGAGGCTTTGTTTAGGATGAACAGAGAAATTTGCTCAGGACTGTTTCAAAGTGGAATACAAAATGTGTTTAAAGAGCATGTTTTTTTAGTAGAAAGACCTCATACTGAATGGAAAAAAAAAAAAAAAGGCAATTCTGTGACCTATTTTGTGTAAACATTATGCAGGTTAAATCCAGAAGGATTAAAAAAAAGATACTTTTGACTGTCCTGTGTGCTTTTACTGCTAACACTTCACCTGACTGATAAAACAGCAAATAATATTTTCAGGATAGAACTATAACTTGTAACAACTAAATCACACCTTTATGTGTGGTATATATGGAAAAGCATCCAACCTCATTTTACAGCCAGACTTCAATGTTTGGTTCAGGGCAGGAAGGACACAGTTAAGCACTTTCCTGCCCCTTATGTGGGCATTTCATGATCATTCACTACCAGGTGCCTTACAGCATCTTGCTTCTGTTCAGTTAGTCAGTTAACAAGGGCTACACAGAGGCACAAATTGAATAAAAAAATAACACTTTAGGCATTTCTAAGCCTCCTAACACTGAGTGTAATTAAATCACACTAAAAACAAACAAACAAAACAACAGGGAAATGTTCTTTCGTTTAGATATATTTGAGCTCATGCTTGAAAGCTCCCTGAGCGTCTGAGATGGCAGTTGTGAAAGCAATACATGATTCCTCTTTATATGAGCAGGGTTATATCTCTGGGTGGTGGGCAGAGGATGAAAAGACAAGAGATGACAAGGCAGCAAAGCCAGGAGAAGCTCTATGAAAGGATTGGAGAAAACCAAGCTAGAAAGAAAGCTTTTGTGATTGCAGTTTCTGAACCAAGTGCTGACTTGGAAAAGAGTTGAGATCCACCAGGCAAGGCTCACTAGTTTTCTTCACTAGTGCATTTACAGGGACTTCAGATTGTGCATTCTTTATAAGCAAAAAAATTACTATAAAATCTCCCACATGAATCATCCCCCTGCTTTCCTTTTAACTTTGGTTGAACTTCATCAGAGTAATGAGAAAACAGTCATCAAAACAGCTGTGTAGCTGTGCTTTGTGGTTTCAAGTGTAGGTCTCTCCATCTTGCTACCCCTTCCTTCTTGGTGAAATCTAAAAATAAATTTCTTGGAAGCACAATTCTCAGGAGAATTGCCAAGAGAAATTGAGTTCTGTGCATGTTAAATCCTGCTGGACAATCACCTTCAGCCTCCAAGGGCACCTTAGCAGTTTTAATATACCAGAGCAAATTTCAGTTAACAAAGCAGTCTCAATGGATAAATTTCTCTGATAAGCTTTCTTATCTCCTCAAAAAAAAAAAGAAAAAAAAAATTATTCATGAGATTCATATTCACAAGAAGCTTATCATTTAAGAACTCCAGATCCTTAAGAAATCTAGGTTATATCACCAGCTCTGTCACACTTTTTATATGAATTCGTGGACAAATCACTTAGAAAAGTATTCTCATCTCCTTCCAGTCTTCCAAAAGTTTGTTAGGCTGTGAAGCACGTTGCCTTTGACTCTGTCTTAAGTGACTTCAGAGGCATATCCATGCCTCCAGGGTGTGATTCATCCCATCCTAATGCAGGAACAGAACATTAAGCAGAACATTTAATTTTGCTTTCCTTGCTAACTGCAGTCCAGAGACTGTTCCCACATTGATTTTTCTTACATTTTCTTTCACTGTCTTAATCAATGGAGAGAGCTTGGCACCCCTGGAAGTAAGTACATCTCAGTTACCAGACATCTGGTTTTGGGAGGGCTGAATCACACTCTGGAGATGCCTCTCTCTATTGATTGCAGAGGTTGCCCTAAAGTGTTTCTTTGTTCCTGGCAATTTTGTACACAACTAGCAGTGGCAAAGTAAATCTCCCATTCACTTCTTTCCATAACAGAGATCATCACATTTCTCCACCTTATTCAATGGAAATATGGTGCTTTCAACCACCTTCTCCATTGTTTCGGTTGATGAAACAAGGATACACTTCCAGGATGAAAAACTTTTGAATGTATATCACTCAAAATTGAGACTTTTTCTTTCTCCATTCAATTTCTCATAAATTACATTGATTACCTGCTAATCACAGAATCCTATTTGAAGAGATCTCTAGTTTTTTGGAGGCATTTTGTTTTGGTCACTTTTTTGTTTGTGTTGTTGTTTGTTTGTTTTAAGAAAAAAATGTAAAGCATTAGATAGCAGATTTGGTTTGGACTCTCAACCTCTCCTGAGGTGCCAATGAAACAACTCCCTGGAAGGTTTGAGCCACTGTTGCTCTTTTTGGTAAATGCATCAACTGTACCACCAGGTAGGACCACCAAATCATCTGACATTATCTTCTGCTTGTTATTGTGCCATTGCATTTTCATCCATCCTCCATTCTCCATCCTGACTCCCCACCAGGCAATGTCCTGAATATAAAGTAGAAATATTTGTTAGAACATGTACAAACTTCCTATGGGTTTATTTTAAAAGAACTCATATATGTATGTATATAAATTCCTCCTTTTTATTCCCATTATTTTTCTGGTCGAACAGTGGATGCAATGAGATCTAGTGTGTGAGAGCTTTTATAATGGGCATGAGAGACGCATGGCGATTAAAGGAGCTATGTCTTCAGGTTAAGTTCTTGTGGCTTAAAAAGGTAGCTAGCAGCACCTGAGTAACATAGACAGTCTGTGTAGCCACTTTTAACCTATGGCAAATGTGAAGGAGTTTGACTCATAATAAACTGTATATCACATGAATTTGCATTGATCTACCTTGCTTGTTCAGGAGTCTCAGATTGAACTGGAAGTTGACATCCCCAGTCATTTGGCAGTTATCTCATAAATAATGACTTGTTATGTCATGGAACTTTGCTTTTGAATCCACAGATTATGGCAGTATTTAATACTTTTCCAATATCCATGAACACAGCACCTCAGATTTTGATATACGTGCATCTTCATAACATTCTTGTGAAGAACATGGTATTTTCTCATTTTGTACATAAAAAATCATCAAGATACAGTGAAACTAAGTCCATTTAGTCCATTTAGTTTGACAAAGCACAGATGATAGATATTTTCAGACCAAATTACAATTGTTTTCATGTTCCAAGTCAACAATTTTCTCCTTTACTGCATAGGGAGACAAGTCCATGATTATGGCTTTGTTCAGTAGTCTGTTGAAGCCAAAAGCCTCCTTTTTGCAACAGCAGCAGAAGGTTTAACTCTGTTTGAATCCTGCTACACTGATTGATAACACTGAATTTAGCTTTTGTGAGTTTCCAAGCACAAATAAACGGTGACACATTAGCCCAAATGGACAGTCACTGGTGCATTATTTCAAAATTTGCACCATGGTAGGGTGATATTTTCTATGAAATATCTTCTTATATTAAAATATTACAAAGACAATTTTAAAACAAATATATATATTCTTGCAACAACCTTACTACATCGTGTATTTCCTTCACTTCTTCCTAACATAGTAATCAAAGTCTCTCTTTGTTTGTTTGCATTTTTTTAAAACTGCAACTTTGCTAATAGAAAGTGTTTTATACAGGTAATCTGCACTCGATCTGAAGAGTACAACAGCCAACAGGCTTTATGCAATGCCACTAGTGAAGGGCCTATACTTCGAAATCCTGGAAACAATGACAAATCAAGGACCCCAAGGCTCCCATCTTCATCAGAAGTCGAATTTTGTCTGTCACTCACTCACTATGAATCTGGATCCATGGATAAAATGGCCAATTACAGCTTCCGAAACACTTTGGAAGGTAACACTTCATTCTGCTATGATATTCCTGTCAGTAACTTGATTGTCTCTGAGATTAGAGCCCTTAAACTTTGGACATTTTTAGCTAATTTCATTATGCACAACTCATATAACATACTATAATGTAAAATAGTATAAATATATATTGTATTATACCATATATAGTTATAAAATAATAACATACTTACTCCTAGCAACATACAGGAAGTACCATGTTAAAATATTGAAAGTGCAGACTAGACCAGACCTTAAATCCATCTATTATGAGACATTGTTTCAACAGTAGTCAGTACCAGGCACAGAAATATATCTGCATGAAAACAGATAAAAAAAGATAATCTAATAACCTACTTTCCCATGATTGCAACCATGTCCATGCAGACTGCAGGATTATCCTGAGACTGTGCTGAATGTCAAGGGTGAAAGAAGATGCTGCCACTTGGGTTGTATATATGCATCAGCAACTCTGGGCTTCATCCCAGAATCTAAGGGTTAAGGATAACAGTACACCTTGAACATTAATCATAGAATCATAGAATGGTTTGGTTTGGAAGAGACCTTTAAGATCATGTAGTTCCAACCTTCTGCTATAAGCAGGGACACCTCTGTCTAGATCAGGTTGCTCACAGATCCATCCAGCCTGGCCATGAATGTTCCAGAGAGGGGGCATCCACAACCTCACTGGGCAACCTGTTCCAGTGTCTCGTCACTCTCACAGTAAAGAATTTTTTCCTGTTATCTAGTTCTAACTTCAGCATCTTTTGCTGAAGTGTTTAGTTATTCATCTCAGTTATCTAATTAGCTAATCCATTATAGAGGTTCCTAATTTGCTGATAAACAAGGATTCTTTTGTAAATAGAATAGTTATTCTTAATTATCTATCGACCCAATCTCTTTCAAAACTTGCTAAATTGCTAGTAAACAAGGTAAGCACAGTATAGTTACCAAAAACCATTACTTCCCTGCTGTACTATATATCTGCTGAAGCAAATAGGCCATACTTTCATTGATATCCCAGAGATTTTAATTGCAAGGAAGTACACAAGGGCCAATAAAAACAGTATAGACTTTGGTGTGAGGATAACGAAACAAAGCTTTTAATTGTCTATTATGGTATTACTCTTGATGCAGTATGCAATGCCATAAATGGGGAAAAAAAAATAAAAATAGTTTCAGTACTAAAAAAAGTAAAAATAATTAAAAAAAAAAAAGTGGAATATGCATTCTGAAGACAAAAGAAAATAAAGATATTTATTGACTCCATCTCTGGACAGTTTTTGTTGACAGTTGTGGTTTTTACATTTGAAAAGAAAAAACAAGTAAAGTTCAGGAAATAAAAAGGTGGCATAACCTTCTATACATTTTTTTCCACAACATATGTGAATAAATGTGAAGAATAATAAAGGAAAAGTAGAGAAAAGGGAAATGAAATAAACAAGACACAAAATCGTGAGTGTTGCTGTTAGTATTGTAAACAAAACCAAAGGCACAGTGTATAGAGCCATAGAATCAAAATGGACCATTCACTTTCAAAGGCTTAATTTCAATGTCATGACTACTCATTAAATTGTACCTTGACCAGAGAAAGCACATAGCCCTCCCAAAGAGGAGGCCAGGAAGTTATTTAAATTGTAAAACCAGAATCAGGGTTTTTGTCTGATTAATCTATCATTCTTTTCTCTGTTGTCTCTTTTCACATTAATGTCATGGCAGTCATGGCTGATCTTTATTAATATACTAGAATCATCAGCCAAACACACTATGAAAAGATCATGTTTTAATCTGAACTGTGGCAGTGTCCATACATCCTGAAGAAACTCTTGTAGATCAAATTTTCCTCCAAGTGAGCTTTCCTGTTCTGTGTAACAAATCTTTAGAACCTGAAGAATGTTCATATTTCTACTAAGATTGTGAAGCTCCAGCTTATTACCACTAGGGTAGGCACCAATGAGCTCTGGTGGATTTAATGTGATTTAGATAATACTCCTATAAACTTGGGACAAAACTACACGTCCTTGAGGATGAACACAAGCCAGATATGATCCAGAAGCTTAGGTAGTTAGATAGCATATATTATCTTGAACATAGTGTTGCATGACCTCTGGATGCATCCATTTAGCCTATAGCCAGGACAGAGTGAATTTATGTCTGTTTTTTTTTTCAGTCCATCGAGATGTGCATGCATAATAGCCTTTTCAGAGTGCCTGAAAGATCCCTCCAGTGTAATTCAAAGAGGGAAGAAAAGAGATGGAGAACTTTTCTGTAGCAATGAGGAAGGCCCTTTGCAAGTCGTAGGATCATTGTGGAGGAAGGCTAAGAGGTTGCACTACAGTAAGAAAAAGCTCAGTGGGAACAGATTGAGACAATAAATGTCCTGTCCATAGACATTCCATAGATGTGAAACCAAAAGCAAAACACCAACTCAGTACTACAATGCTCTTTCTCTACCAGGGGAAATCCTGTTAAGAAAGTAATGTTTCCTGTAGTCCAACTCCGAGTGCCCTTACCATATTGTTTTATAACTTTAATAGCCTAGCTGAAGGAGCTCTATCTACAGTTCTCCAGAGCTGTTATGAAAGAAACTGAAGATCAATAGAGTGCAGAAATAGCTCCTCCTTTTAGCCTGAACTATCTATAAAACTAGCTAGTCCTAAAATCAGTTTGCTGTTTGTTTCATGAAAGGCATTTTTAACTCATTCTCCTGAAAATTATTACCAAAAATTGCTGAAGAATAGGACATTCCTTTCCCAACTATCATTACCCTCTTTAGTGCTTCCACAGTGAAAACTGTTTCAGACCATTGATTTTAGTTTTTAATTAAGATTCTGTTTCAACAGCACCTTCAGCTTTTTCTCTGAGTGTGTTCCTCATTCTCTTAAAACGCATTATAATTGAAAAGTAGCAGTAATTAAAAAACTGAGAGTTCCAGAATACTACCCAGATCTTGTCCATCAAATGGAGTTACTGCCTTCCTGTCTGCAAAAGTTGAGTAGGATATGTAATACAAGACTTCTGAATACTTTGAGAGTTTTTCCATTCCAGTATGGAGTTAACTTGTTCAACAACACAATTTTTTTTTCCAACTGAGATTATTTTTAATCTGAATTATTTCAACACTTAAGTTTACACTTCAGGTCCATAAACATTTCAGTTTATTCAACTAAAGACAATGAAGTGCAATACCTAGTCAAAAATACATGGCCAAGATTGAGACAGACAGTAGGAAGTCCTTTATGGAAAAAAAATAAAAAACAAAAAAATAAGAACAACAACAACAAAAAACCCACAATGAATAAATAAAGGTACATTTTGGTAGCTCTTTTCTTACAAATGATCTGCTTCATTTTTTTGTTACATACAGATGCCAAAAATGAGACTGCTAATTTGCTTTCGTTGTGCTATAATGTAATGGCATTCTCACCTATTTGCTAACAGTTCATAGATTCTAGCGTTTATTTCCTTTTCTCAGTGAGAGTCTTTTAAATCCTTCTTTACTTGTTTACCCAAGTTTGTGCCGATACAACTAAGATCAAATTCTAATTTCTTCTAGATTCAAAGTAAATCCAAAGTAACTCCATGTACTTTAGTGGTGTTACTTTAAATTTACAAAAGATGACCAGAACCAAGCTAATGATACTAATGGAGTGGCTCTTGATTTACACCCATGTGAAATTTACTCCTCAACTTTAGTTCTGTAATGGAAAACAGCTGTGATCACTTAGAAGAACTGAGCACAAGATGAGGCCAGTGTATTCCAGACATAGACATCATGCACTTCTGGACAAAACTTCATGCCCTTCCATGTCTGAGCATCCATGTGAACTGGAACAAGCACATTTTGACCATCTAAGAGGTAGTCATCAGCACCACACTGAATCCATGTTTACCTGAGAGATAACATTGCTATGCAGACACAACTGATGTCAATTATGAGTAACCACAACAAATATGATCAGCTAAGGTCAATATAGCGACAACCCAGTGGAACTGAGCACTCAGGATGTCCTCTCACTCTGGGATGGGGTAGTTTCTACTTAGATTGAAAAACAGTGGATTAAAAGTAGGTGGCATATTTTTCCTTGGAGGCAAATATTTTACTTACGATTTGTTGAACAGAGATCTTAACTGAAAACACTACTGACTTCATCAGACATGCATCTTGAATCTTCATCTTGAATGCAAGAAGAGTACAGAAAAACAGTTAATAGTATAAGCAATAGGTGAGGATCAGCTGACTGTAAATTAAGATTTGGGCTTCTTTGTGTAGGTCAGCTTTAATGTTCTAAGAATTAGACATGTTCTAAGAATTAGTCAAAAAATACTTTTTTCCACGTATAAGATGAGTGTATTCATGACAATTTCAAATGAAAAACAGTGTCTCTTAAGTTTTCCACAAATGGACAAAATAATATTCTTTAGATTCTAAAATTCTATATCACTTTGATTATTCATGAATTAACTCATGACACATGGTATCAAGTCAAACTGTGCCATAGCAGGTCACTGTCTGACACATCTATGTATCGTTACTCTTGCTCTGTCATGAAATAATGGAACAGAACATCAAGCACTTCAAAATGTAATTTCGTTTTAATAGAACATCCTGTAAGATCCTGTCCCATGAGATATTTTCATCTGGAAAACTTTTCTCAGTGTTCTCACTGTAATCCATATAGCTAACAAAAAATGGTTTCTCGAAATGAAGTTTTCCAGCAGAAAACTTCTAATTAAAAAAGTTTTAGCCTACAGCCAGCATCTCTTATCCAGCTTAAATTCTCAACCTCTGAGTAAAGTTGGGCTGCACACTGAGAAAGTGCTGTCAAGTCACAGAGGGTCCTGAACAGATAACCAGAAAGACTGTTCATCTCAGATCACAGTGAAGTTCTACAAGAATCATTATAAGTAAAAACCCTAGGTGGTGATATGGTCTAAATTAGATAATCACAAACTTTCATTTGCTACAGCCCTTTAGGCCAAATTCTGGAGATCTTGCAGTTGCTTCACTTTAGAGAGATTACAATAATAACATTGCTTGAGAAAATATGTTTCCAATGGCTGAAAATCTCCATCGCTGCAAGTTAGAAAAACACCACTGGCTTCAAAAACCTGTAAGGATATGGTCTTAAAATTTTTATATCTGTATATATATATATATGTATATATATATGCATCTATATGATAGGTGCATCTGTCTGACCTGAGCTTCACTCAAATGTAGAAACCTTATTAAAGAAAGTGTCATCCCTGGCTAGAGTGGTGCTTTGTGTATCAGTCAGCATTTGGATATGCAAAGCAGAATTTGGCCTTTAAAGTCCCTGCTGCCCCAATAACAGGCCTAGAAAGTCATACAAAACTAAATTATGTTTTTTAAGAAATTTTTGCCGTTTAAAAACAAAACAGCAATATCTCACAGACATCAGTAGTGCCACGGAGGTTAGGCAGTCCGCTTAAATAATCAGAGGAGAAAGGACTTCTGGAATGGTTCATCCATTTCTGTAGCACAAGGTCTGCATACCCTCCACTAAATATACTTACAGCACTTCAGATAGTGGCAAATGAGCACTTGAGGGAAACAGTACCTGCTTGAAATACATAATGTTTCTCATTTGATAGATTATACAGGAATTTCTGTGGACTCTGACATTAGACAGTAAAATCTAAAGTTAGTATAGTTAAATTCTCTATTAAAAGACATATACTTAACCCACTGCATTTTTAATGAGAACCACCTATATATCATCCTACAAGGGTTAGGCAGCCTTAATTGCAAGTGAATGATTAGCTCCTCCTATTATAAACTTTGGGCTAAATCCTCATCTGGTTTAATTTAGCCTGGTTCCATTGAAGTTGCTTCAACTTCACTGAATCATTGTTACTGATTTACGAGGTTATAAGTAGGAGCAGAATCACATTTATAATCACTTAAAAATATGATTCTTTTCTCATTGAAATCACTGGTAACACCTCAACTCTCTTCAGTGATGTATGCCCTACTGGCTATTTCTAATACGCAATAATTAAATGAGAACTTAGAAGGATGTCTGAGTGATTCAGCTTTCTATACTGGCTGGATGATTTAATAGCTCACTACCACCGGCTACAGACCTAATGCTCTGTGCAATTTCCTCAGTCCTCTAGTCAGTCACTCTCACCACCTTCTGGTACTGTGTATTGTTGCATAAGATACTGCATGAGTATTCTGTCAGTTCAGTGAGTTAACTCAGTTCACAGAAGGGCTAAGAACAGCTGTATTCAGTACATGGGAGAGGATGGGAACACACACCATGATGCAAAGCAGATGGAAGGAGCTGCCCTACTCACAGCCAGTGATATCAGTTCACCTGAAAGAAAAGATTAATACCCAGACAAATAAAATGAATTAATATCAAATTACAGTTTTATTCCTGCTAGCTTTAATGTTTATATGGACTTTCCTAACTTCTCATGATGCACCTTTGAGAATGACTGAATGCACCCCAATTAATTGGGAGATGGGATGTTGGGGTTTAATAACATCCCAGTTACTTGTGAGCATATGATCATTGCAATAAATTGCTGAAATTCGGAAGTTTCATGAAAGTTGACTAGAGCCAGAATGTTCTGTATATTTTTTTCTAAATTATTAGATGAAGTATTTGCAGTGCATTAAGAAATTTTTAAAAGTATTCAGTGTCTGATATAAAACATGTCAAGTTGGAACTTGATGATCTTTGGGGTCCCTTGGGCTTAGGTTGGAAGGGACCCCAAGCATCATCAAGTTCCAACTTGAGCTTGATGATCTGTAAGGTCCTTTCCAGTCTATGCCATTCTATGATTCCATGATCAAGTTCTATTTCCCTGCCATGGACAGGGTTGCCAACCACTAGATCTGTCCATCTGCCTAAACCCTGCAGAAATCTATCTTACCTTCAATATATTATAATGCAGCTGGATATAAGTAAAAGAGTAGTTTCAGAATGATATACAGACAGATCTTTTTCAGTTAAGATTCACAGAGATTCCCTGGTAAGGAGTATTGCTAAATCAACTAACTCCAGCGATCACCTGCTATGGCTATCTGTAAGGAAGGCCAAAATTGTTGCAATCAATTCCTATGAATTCTGGTCAAAATGTTAATGTGCATCATTCTTCACAGCACCTTTAGAAATATATTTTATTCCAGGTTTTATTTTTGGCTAGGTGGCAGCTACATAGTATAGCATTCCCTATCAGCCAGCTTCCTGTGGGCAAGATTTTCCCTTTGAGAAATTCTGCCCATGTTTATGTTCCCATGCATCATCTTCAATAATCCTCTTCCACTTTGAATGTACTTGACACTTGCAGTTATCTGTAAGCATTAACATGATTGTTACTCTCTCCTAAATCCAGATTCACCCTGCTTTGAAGTCTTTTCATCATAAGCCGACTCTACTTCCTCCAGCTCTCCTGATTATGTTTTCTTCTCTGAATTACTTTGAATTTCTCAAAATCTTTTTGAATTTGCCATCAAAAAGATAGACAGTTATTATGATATATTGATTCTTAGATGTCACAGCTATTATTTGACCCTGAGTGTAATATATAAGCTTTATTTAATATATAGTGAAGTATGGAAAAATGCTTCCCCATTTGGATATGGTGGATATCCCATCCCTGGAGGCATTCAGGATCAGACTGGACAGGGCTCTGAGGAACCTGATCAAGCTGTAGGTGTCTGTTCATTGCAGGAGTTGGACTAGATGGCCTTTAAGAATCCTTTCTCACTCAAATGCTTCTGTGATTCTATGACAATTATCCAGGGCTTTTCACCAAAAGATTTTGCTTGAAGAGATTACTAGACAAGGCAAAGCCTGATAAGGGAATTTAGAAGCACAGAGAGGTGAAAATAACCCATCCAGCAGATCATTCTCAGGTGTCTAATAATCAAGTTTCCAAACTGATAGAATGTTATTTAGCAATAAAACATAAATAGCCATGTGTCAATCAGTACCTTCTATGAATCAAGAGCAGCAAACCCAAAAGCGCAAAACAGTTGATACCGATGATCTGACTTCCATCTTACACATGAAGGTTCTGATAAGAAGAGGTTATTTAAAACTAGCTCTAGTTCACTCCTGATAACTGAGCAGCCACTGATGTTAAATTTCCTTCAGTCTAGCATACTAAGGCACAAATTGCCCTGTGATGTGAGTCACTACAGGAAACAGAAGGACTGTTGGGAGAATCACTTCAAAAGAATACTGCTGCTCCTCTTTCAAATGTTAGTTCTTGGTCCAAATAAGTAAATAAGGCAAGTGTTCATAGTGTGTGAGCCATTTCCCAGAGAGTTCTCTCTTTCTCCCATCTTTGATAAAATGTGACAATATTGGGAAAACACAGAGAAGCAGCACAATATGCATACTGCTTTTTATTTGATTATTGTTTTTTAAAGATGTTAAAGATCCCTACATTATATTTCCTCAGCATACAGAAATTGTGATAATAAGACACCTTCATGAACCAAACCAGAGATGGCAGGAAGATGTTAGTGCAGGTTAATTAGTAGGACTAACATCAGCTTAAAATGTTTTCTTGCAGAAAACCAGAGAAGTTCCACGTGGTTTAGCTGACTTTTATTTTGAGTCGTTAAAATTAGGGAGGAGGCTCGTCTGTTACGATGCTAAGAAAAGGTTACCAGCACCAAAGCTGATGTGTGGGTAGGCTACCACACCAGAAATTCAGGGTTTGCTCTGTGTGACCTACTTGTAAAGCTTGTATTGAAGGAGAGATTCAAAATAACAGTAGTTTACAGACTTTCATGCTCAAGAGGGAAGGTGAAAGAAGATCATCAGTTGATTGTTAACCACATACACACACATTAATATTTTACTAATTATTTACAAACCCCTTTGTGAAGATAATAGCATATATTGCATTGTCTCCTTCCAATTAAAGAATGAGTTCTATAGAGATAAGTGATATAAAATGGTTGCATATATGATGAGATACACTAGCCTGTTGTACCTTAGAAGTATATAAGGATAGAGAAAAAAAAAAGAAAAAAAAAAAAAAAAAGAAGTAAATTTAATGTGAATAAACATACATGCATAAACACCTGCAGGAATTAGGTTTCCTTTTTACAGTCACACACAATGGATGTAGAAATTCAAAAATATAAACCAATTAAGCAGCACATTTGCTGACATGCTGCATTAGCTACATGGCAGGAGTTTTAATTTAGCTTATTCTAACTTCATCTTTCCTATGCCTTTGAAATTTATTAATACTCCTTTACATGTTTTCTGAAGCTCTTGTCTAAAATGCTGAAAGTAAATGAGTTGAAATTAGGTACTTTGATCTTCAGTGTTACTGGTGAAAGAATTCTATGCATTGTAGTATCAGCATATGATTTTCTCTGGAATATACAGGCTTTGCTGATCCACGCACTGCAATATCAAACATATCTCAAAGTGGTTTGCATAATGCCCTTCACATCTACATGAATGGCTCCATGTCCCAAGTACAAGGCTCTGCGAATGATCCTATCTTCATCCTGCACCATGCTTTCGTTGACAGGTGAGTTAAATTCTTCTTGATAAACCTAATTTATTTTGTGTTTCTACAGTGTAGTTTTCACTTATGCTTCAAAACTGCAAATATTTTACATGCACAGCATTTTCAGACATGTAAAATTGTCTTAGCTATTATTTGAGAGCAAGTGTGTCTCCTAACCTTTCTTTACATTCACTGGATTAAGTATCATTTGAAAAGTCGACAAATGTAATCAGCTTTTATTACCAAGGTAAAAATAGTCCTTCAATGATGTCATAGTAATTGATATATATGGATGTGTATGTCAAGAAGTTTGGACTGAAAGTGTATGACTCATTTTAACAAGACTATAATCGGTTGGAGTAGTTCCTTAATATTCTAAATGTCAGTGCTCTTTTAATTTCTATTCCATAAGGAAAAGCCAAGTGTACAATCCATAAAGAATAACAAATTGGTATTTGAGTGTGACAAACAAAATTGTGACTGTCTCTTGCTGAAAGAAAAGACTACAGCTGTGCAGATGGAAAGGGAAACAAACAGAAAGGTGCCATGCTTATTAATAAGAGAGGGTAGGGGAGCACAGCTCTTCAAGAAGAGATTGAAATTACTATGGAAAGGAGGACATTCTGAGATTTAATGGTGACCTTAAGATTTTCTGTATGTTGCTACAAAGTATGTGAATGGCTACAGACAATTTACTGTGTACTGTACTACACATAACTGTGAAAACTAAACAGCAATAAAAAAGAAATATAAACTGCAAAATCCATACAAAAAATGTCTTTAAAAATATGTGAAAAGATTTTTCTAAGTCATATGGCTGCCCAAATAATTTCAAGCAGCAGTAACAAAACAAGGACATGCTCTTCAGACCCTTGTATATCTGTCCTGTCTGCACCCTATGAGAGCAGCAGTGAAACCCTTGTTTAAAATACATAATTCAACTGCAACAAACAAAAGGAAGACAGATTAACATTAGTCCAAAATCTAGCCCTAGAAATGTACTTCAATTTATTTCATTTTTTAACTAGCAGCACTCCTTTTCTTCAGAACCTCAAGCTGTTCTCCTAGGAAAAGATTCTTACATGTGTGGAAGATTGGCTTGTTCCAGCCCTTCCTTTTTGACTCATCCTGCATTTACTAAATCACTCCATCAACTAACTACATCATAAGGTTGCATGTTATTTGACTTGCCTTTCCAGCCTTCTTTTAATCTCCCACTGTGCGCTGACCATGACTTGGCAACGGCAATACTTAGAATAATGATGACTCAAGACAAACTCTTGTGAGTCTTTCATGAACACGTGTGCTCAGAACTCTACTGATCGAGCCCCTGCCTGCAGGATGCTTAGCAGATATTCAAGCAAAAACCAAAACACTTTCTTTATCCAGGTTTCCAAGGCATGCAGCACAAGAGGGATGCAGATTATATTTTCAAGACATCATCTTGCAGTGAACTTCTTTAGTTCTAGGCAGATCATACTAATACACTTACATAAAACATTATCATATTTGGACAAAAGGCTGTATATATGGAAGATAAAGTTTGTTTTTTCTACTCAGGTTATATAATTAATGCACCTAATGGTTGTGTTCTTCATTCTTTATCCAATCAAAAACAGGCATCAAGTCTAGGCAGGTCACCAAGGCATCAGTGGATTAGTTCCTTTGTAGGGTGACCCTGCTTTGTTCTATTCCTAATATGTAGGTTCTAATTAGACTTCCAGAGGTTTCAGCTTTGCAACTTCGCCAGAAACTTTCCTCAGAACATTTTAAAAGTTAAACAGTATAACTCAGCTATGATTTAGTATATCCGCCCATTGACTGCTTGACAGGGTAGATGCACAAGGGTTTCAGGTGCAGTTACAGATTTCAAGTTTGGCACCTGGAAATTAACTTTCCAATGTCTAGGCTTTTAAAAATGGCTCAGTTGAACACTCAGAGAAAGGGAACACAGAAGGGAACACATTATGCTCTGCAATATCAAAAGACATTGTTTTCCTTAAACGTTCACACTTGTATAAGACCTACGCATCTCTTAGCTCCCACACAGTGCCGAGCTTAAGTAGCACCTTGGCCTTCATGCTGACCCCTCCCGCAGGGGAACTTCACTTATAGTCATTATAAGCCCCTGGAAATACTTTCCATAACCGCAGTTGTCATCCATTTTAGAAGGGAAAATTATTTGCAAAAGATAACATCATTAAATTCTACTGGTACCAAGGAAGTAAATCACTGCACCGGCACTGTGGGGTCAATGCAGAAATCCATGATGCAACCTCATCCTACCTGTGGCAGAAAGAACTGTACCAGTGCTCTGCAGCTGCTGTGTATATGGGTTTCAGTATGCACGGATATGAAAACTGATGATAATGCTGCCTTTGTGTAAGTGACAGAAATGAATTAGCATGATTAGGGTTACTTAGCAGCCTTATCCATGACAGATTAATCATGCTTTTAGTTATAATTAATAAGTAGGTGACTGATAGGTACGTACAGTACATTTAAAAGAATTCTGTTTCTCTCCTACATAGACATTGATTATGAGAGATTGCAAAGAAGTTTTGAGAGGCAGGGAAGAACATAAAGCATAGAGGAAATGGGAGAAAAAGCATACAGGAGCAGAAGCAGTCTTTTAACTATCTAATATTTACACTAAATCTGCAGTACCCCCTTCAGAACTTGCTGAGGATGTGGAGGGTTGTGAGACAGGAGGTTACTGGCAAAGGGTGAAGAAAAACTGGAGGCAGCAACCACAGCTCTGTTGGATCTTGCAAAACAACTCTGTGTCAAAAAAAACCAAAATGGCCCAGAGCTTTGAGCATCTGTTTAGGACCCAGAAAAGGGATTCCTCACACCACTACAAGTTGCTTGAGTGAAACTGAGCATGTAGTTTGCTTTCCCAAGCTCACTTCTCCTGGAGATGTGTTTTCTTCCCATTGATTTCAACAAGACATATCCAAAGACTTTTGAGGAGCTGTTGATCTGAGCTGCAGCTAACCCATCTGTAAAGTGGGTGATACTAAATGCCTACGCAGCAGGGATGCTGTCAGAGTAAATGCATTAACGACTGTGAAATGCTCAGTTATGACCATAATAGGAGTGATAGAAGTAAGGCAATAGATCATTGGGACTGCTTTTCCATGGAAACATATGGTACAGAGGAGGATAAACAAGTGTATACGGAGTCTGCTGACAGGTGTGAGCCAAATGTCAGGAACTGCTTTCCAAACTGAGCAACAGCCAGTTCCCATCTGCTGCCCTCAGCCCTTCCTACCCAGGTCTGGTGCCTGAAAGGAGGGAAGGATGGAGGGAGCAGAGATGTGGAAAGCACCTTTCTCAGGAGGAAAGCAAAGTGATGGCTTATAAATGCTCTTCTTTTTATGTCATACTCTTTCAACAATGAAGAAGTATGAATGTATTGAGGCAACAGCTTTCTTAGTAATGATAAATCAGACTTCTCACTTTCTTATTTGCAGGGAAAGATCAAACCCCAAGGTTTAGTAAAAATAGGTGACCACTGTGAAAATTATTAATTATTAATCATTAATTGTTAGTTGAATCACTTCAACAGAAAGAAAGAAAGAAAGAAAAGAAAGAAAAGAAAGAAAAGAAAGAAAAGAAAGAAAGAAAGAAAAGAAATAAGAAGAAAGAAAGAAAAAAGAAAAGAGAAAAAGGAAAAAAAGATGCAAATTAGCTATACATTCAGCAAAAAAATGAGATTTTTTTAGCTGTGTGAAGCATTTCTCCTAATTGCAAATCTCTTTGCCATTCAGATATGCTCTACAGTCAGCACGAGGGAATAGCAAGGGAGGAGTCAGCCCACTCAAGCTGCAAGGAGCAGCTGCACAGTCAGTGAAAGCAAGGGCCCACAGTCACATTCGAGCTCACAAGAGTATTTTCTGTGCTCTGAAAAAGCATTCTTTCCTCTGTAATGACTCTTTCAACCCCTCCATCCCTACAACCCCACAGTATCTTCATCTGTTTTCCCTGCACTGTTGCCCTTTTAATGTTTTTGGTTTCTTCTCATTTCTATACTTCTGTACTTTCATACTTGTCCAGTCCTTGAATTCCATAACCTACCCCAATAACGTCCTTTGCAAAGAGCTAAGAAACCCTAAATATCAAGGGGAAAAATAAGTTGCAACTGAAGATCTCCATATCGTTTTATACTCTTACAGCTACTAATGCAGTAGGGCTCCACTTCTCATCTCATTTCTGAGTTCCATAATACGGGGCAAGGTTTATCACAATAATATGGATGACTTTCAAAGGCACTAATTATATCATGAGCAATTTAGAACTGATTTTCTAGAGGCACACAATATAGTATAGACTTTTAGTCTCCTGCTTCTCTAAAGTTTAGTCTCCTCTTTGGGAACTTTTCACCCTATGCATCCATGGCTTCAGTCACTGCTCTTTCCTTTTACTGTGACAATGGTAGAAAAGCTAAGACATCAGTAAGCTGAAACCTTCACCATTTCACTGGTAAATCACTGTGGCACCATTGCATAGCTGCTTAGTTCTTTTTACATCTGTCTGCATCCATCTGTTGTCCCTTGTCCCATGAGTAAATTACAAGCTATGTCATTAAGGGACTGCCTAATTGTTCTAGTCTGTGCTGTGCCTGGCATATACTTAGCCTCTGACTGTGCTTCTCAGGTGAGAATATGAGCAACGTGAGCAATTGCTTCATTTGCAATTCTGTGAGATGGCAATGACAAGAGACAGCTGGGTGTCTCTGCGTTGATCTTGTTGGTTCAGTAGTGACTATTGCTTGCTACCTCATAGGGCAAAATATTTGCATTCAAAGAGACAAAATTTCAGCTCTTCAATTGGGTATTTTTGGACAGGTGCACTCTGCCAAAAGCAATCCAAGTCAAGTATACAATCACACAGGGAATGGAGAGACTTTAACTTATTTATATACATGAATGCTTCCAAGCAGGAGTAACTGCCATATATCAGTTTCAGCACTCTGTGAAAATGCCACTAATTCTACCTGTCCAAATGTCCCCATGCTG